ATGTGAGGGCGGTTTCTCTCTCCATGTATTCTTCTGTGTTATAGTTGAAGATTGACTGATTGCCTGGTTTTGCCTAGTATGTGTATGTATGTGTATATGTATATGTTTGTATATATATATGTGGGGGGGATAGATAGGTAGGTAGGTAGCAGTGGTGGGTTGCAGACGGTACGCACCGGTATGGGCATACTGGAGCCTGCCCAGAGCACCGGATACCGTTCCGGTATGATAGTCTGGATGGCCCACCCACCCACCTGAGATCCTTACCAGTCTTTTAAGTCTTTGGCGCTTTTGCACACGTGCACAGCGGGTATAGTGCCTGTGCGACGCTCCACTGAGCAGCTGGAACGTCGCAGAGGCGCTAAGATGCATCTGCGCGCTGCGTGCATCCATGTGGACGCCGCCAGGCCAGTTCCAACCATACTGGTTCCAACCCACCAGTAGGTAGGTAGGTAGCAGTGGTGGGTTGCAGACGGTACGCACCGGTATGGGCATACTGGAGCCTGCCCAGAGCACCGGATACCGTTCCGGTATGATAGTCTGGATGGCCCACCCACCCACCTGAGATCCTTACCAGTCTTTTAAGTCTTTGGCGCTTTTGCACACGTGCACAGCGGGTATAGTGCCTGTGCGACGCTCCACTGAGCAGCTGGAACGTCGCAGAGGCGCTAAGATGCATCTGCGCGCTGCGTGCATCCATGTGGACGCCGCCAGGCCAGTTCCAACCATACTGGTTCCAACCCACCAGTAGGTAGGTAGGTAAATGGATGGATGGATGGATGGATGGATGGATGGATGCCTTGTAGATAAACCACTGTTTGAAAGACAAAACCTCTGGGTACTGTATTTTGCTCCTGGGTTCTCAAAATAATAGTCACACTGTGCATACTCTGACACACCACCATAAGCACCACAGAAAGCAGACAATTAATCTTTCTTTCCCCTTTTATAAACACTGATATACTTTGCATAAGAGGCTGCCTGCAAATAACCAGTTTTACATACCATCAATGCTACGGAAGTCCAGTAGATAAGTCCTGCTATCCACCTGGTACAGCTGCAGGCTCATTTTGGAATATGTGCCTGTTACTGCATTCTTTCTCCGAACGCGCAAGTAGTATGGATTTACAACCTAGGAAAACAAAGTAGAAACTTAACAGAAAACATCAAAAGAATTATTACATTGATTGTCATTATCTCTATTTGAAAAGCATCACTTGCAGGAAGACAATTTAAGCAATCTCACCTTCCATTCATAATCCAACTGCTTGATTGCCCGACAGACTTCCGCCATTATATCATTTGGCCGACTCTGACTCCGGATTCCTAAATGCCATTTAGCTCTTCTGACCCCCTGATGTTTGGACTTTTGTGGATTTAGCTCATCGAGTGTATGGCGTGACCTTGGTACTTCAGCAACTAAAAACGGCACTCTTTCAGGGTGAGGTCGGGAAAAATGGTCATCAAGAAAGGAATCTGGTGGGCTTGTAGCTAAGTAGAAGTCTTTCGCTTCATTCATTATTCTTCTATTATCTATAATGAGGTGATAGGCAACCGCTAGCGGATCCTGATGATTGCGATTATATAAGCAGCTTAGCACTTCCTCCTCTGTACATTCAAACTTATCACAGACTTCTCTTAAGGCTTCATCATCAATCAGAGTTGAACTGTAAGAAGGATCTTCAGGAAAGAGGTACTTGGGGAGATCTTGTTTAAACCACTCATGTTCCCTAGATGAAAGCAAGAACCATATTAAAAGCTAGCCGGTTCAATCATTTTCCCATGTTTTACTGACAGAACATGCAAAGTACACAGAAAAAATTATGCTAAAATAAGTGGTGGAAGACATTTCCTCTTTCAATCCACATATGGATTTTGCTGAACTTGAAATTAAAGTCCAGTTAGATGCTGTGACTATAGTAATTATCACCAGACTAAAATTTAAGTCTTTTAAGCAATATTCTTCTCTTCCCTTTTATAACTCTGAAGATCTTAGCTTCAGATTTCTCATTGATACAAAATAAGTCACCTTTATAATTACACATGCGCGCTGGAGCTGATAGGGCAATGCCTTGCATGTCCTTGCGCGCCCCACAGGTGGCACGCATGCCATAGGTTCACCATCATGGTTCTACGGGCTATAAGTGTGACACCATGTGGTTTGAGCAATGATTATTCCTGAATTTGGGGTATTCCATAACTCTCTTTCTGTGTGTGTCTCTCTCTTTCATTTATTTATTCATTCATTCATTATGCCGCCCATATTCCCTATAAGTTGACTCTGGATGTCTAGTTCAGAT